ACCTTTCAAACTAGTCCCCACATCTAGCCTTCTGTTGTCTTCTTGTGTGCCAAATACCAGAGCACGGAAAGCCCTGGGCTCCAGCTGGTGTTTCTAAATGTCAGATCTGCCCATAATAAATCTTTCTTCATTCACAATTTGAATAAGAACAAGAGGCAAACCTGGTACATACAATCTAGGTGGCAAAGGAATGTGTGTGCCTTTTATGGAGATGTGCTGATTTGGATTTTAGGTTTTGCACTAGAATGACCCCAAAGCAGGAGAGATGAAATAGGGACAATCATGCAAGAAACTCTGCAGGTAGTCAAAGATACTGGCTGTGAGGCCTTATTTGCGAGGTTCAGTTTTTACGGTTACTGAGGGGACTGGTGAAATGTCAGCTTCAAATGCTGACAGGCAGTCAGTCAACTCAGGTAGACAGAGCACACAATGGGCATGAGTACTGTAGGTGAGGATAGAGTTAGATGCTGAAGGGGCAGTTCCTTGCAGGGTGCTTGGCCCTAAGACATCTTGCAGCTTCAAAGAACAGAGTGATGTAAATGAGCTGTGCTCACAGATGTAGCTACATAGAAGCAATTGCCAAGACCTGATTCTCTACTGGAAATAACAATTAGCCCTGTATTACTTATCCTTGCTCTACTTGTGGAGTCTAGGCTGTACAACTCAGACTAGCTTTGGAACTTTCTAGTGTTGAATCTTGAATTGAAATAAACTACCTGTTTCTCTGTTTGTCTTCTTTCTTTGTCTTGCCCCATTTGTCTGAACCTAAACACCATTAGTTTTCCACATCCTAACCCTGCCTCTTGTCTGTTATACCTATAGGACTGGACTGGGGTCTTTGGACTCTTGGCTTTGGATTCTTGAACTCTTAGTTTTCACCTATATTGGCTCTATGAGTACTGTACCCTAGCTACCATACAAGAACTTGTATTCCCTGTTTCTCCTGAAGTGTATATGCAAATACATTCAGTCTGCTTTTTTAGTTGCAAAATCAACATCAGACTAGTTTCATCTTAGATTAGTGTGACTGTTCAGTCTAGGAAAGAATAAAAGCTGGGATTGTTGTTGCTGTATTAGTTTCCCTGTTGCACAGTAGCATCACTATCCAAACTCAAGTTTTCCCTTAACCATGAAAGCCAGTGGGATGGCTTTGGTCAGTCACTGTTTCTTAGCTCACCTCACAGGGTTGTTGCTGTGGGAAAAATAGGAAGATGAAGGTATGTTGTATATGTTTGCCACCTTAAGTTATGGAGAAATAATAAAGGTGAGATTAAAATAAAATAAAGTAAATTGCTGGCCTCACTGGAAAGGTGATGTTGGGTGTCCCAGTCTTTTGTTGCTTGGGAAGTCCAATTTATCTTTCCTAGGAAGAGCACATCTCATATTCTTGGCCACTGGGGACTTGTTTTAAGGGATTACAGGGGATTATCCATCAGTCCTGCCTTGCAGCAGTTGAGATGAAATCTGAAAGTGGAGGACATTAGCATCAGTCCTTTTTTTTTTTAAAAAAAAATTTAAATTAATTTTCTGTTATTACAATTCATTAGTACTTAATGAACATGTTGTCTGGGTTAATTTTTTGCTTAGTAATAGAAGTCCTTTTTTCATGGATACATCATTGTCCAGTATTTATAGAATTTTCTTATGCAAGGAAGAGAGACCTATCAATCAATCCATCCCAGGGACTTAATGGATTAAAAGAATTTCCAAAGGGAAATTCCTGGAGTATTTATGAGTGATTCTGTAGAGTGCTTAGTTGACCTCTGAAATAAATGATTCACAATAGCTCCTTAGAATAGGGGTGTCAAACTGCCGGCCCACGGGCCGGACCCGTCATCTGGAAACCACACCCACCCCACTGTCGGCAATGGCAAAACTGTCTCGATACGTTGCGTGACGTCACGTGACGTTGCGAGTTTGACATGTCTGCCTTAGAAGATTGCTCCTGAACAACCTCTCCCTGTTTGCTAAGTAGGCCACACCCACCCTGGCCACACCTACCTGGCCCCCTGAGGGCAACCACAATGCTGATGTGGCCCTCAATGAAATTGAGTTTGACACCACTGTACTAGGGCATCTCTAACAAACAACCTCCACCTGTTTGAAAAGTTCTAGCCAAGAAGAACTCAATCCACTACCAGCTCATATTATAGGAAGCACTTCCTTATACCTAGCATGTAGTTTTAACATCACTGGTTTGGATATTTTCCTTTTTCTGTGTGACACCTTCAGATATTTAAAACTGCTATTGTATCTCCCCTTGGTCTTTTTTCCCTGAAGGCTAAACATAATAGGTTCTTTTAATTGTTCCTCACAGGACTTGATTTCCAGGTCCTTCACCATCTTGATAGACCTCCTCTGAACCTCCTCATGTTCCAATTTGTCACTAGTTTTGAACTGATGCTCAGAACACAGTATTTCAAAAGGGGTCTCACCAGGGCAACATAAAATGGAATAATGACTTCTGGTGATCTGGACTCTGCTTGTATTAATGTACCCAAGATAGTACATTTTAAGTAGCTACATTACACTGCTGTTTAGCTAAAAAGATTGCCCAGATGCCTTTTATATGAACTGTTGCCAAGCTTGGCTCCCTGAAGTCATTTACTTACTTACTTACTCACTCACTCACTTACTTACACACTTTCTAATCTAAGCTACCCAACCCCCATGCAATATTTTAAAATTAAAAAGTCAAAAAAAGTAAAAAGGTCAAAAAATAAATTGTGAATGACTCAAAGAAAAAAATCATATAATTCCACCCATCCTATTCCCTGGTCAGGAGTGGGATAGATCTGAGGGTCTCTGGCAGAAGGGGGTGGGACCAGGGCAAGTGCACAACCTTCATCCTGCCCCAAAGTTTTCACTAACTTCCTGAACATCATTAGTTTGAGCCATCCAAATCTCTAGGGAGTATCATTCTAGATTACAGGCACTGTGACAGAGAAAACATGCTTCTTCGCTTCCCCCAAAATAACACTGATTCAGTATTTCTTTCTGTTAAACTACTTCCTATTTATTTCATCCCACTAAGACACCTACTGTATTCAGTAATGGTATATAGAATTTACAATACTGTATGATTTGATCTTCTTAAGATGTTTATTTCTAAGTTGCTCATTGCTCCTGTTGTTCATCCTAAATGCATTTAGCTATGGTAGTTTGTTGTCATTTGCCAAGGGTAAATGACTTAAAATTGTTGCTAATTACTGTGATTTGTGCGAAATATATTATTTCAACATCAGTAAAAAGTGATTCAAGGCCTTCTCATATTGGGGCTGAGATGAAGGCAAAGCAACAGGGACACAGAATAGAAATGTTGCCAAGGGATTGGGGGAAGAATCCAGAGAAAGAAATATTTTGGGGAATATTAAAAAGGCAAAATATATTTCTCCAAAGGAATAATGGAGATCTTTAAAAAGGCAGAAACTTCTCTCTCCCCCCCACAGCCAGAAAACTCAGCAGAAACCAACTTTTAGAAATGCCAATGTAATAATCCATTCAGGAAGGTTGGAGCCAGGAAGCTAGAAACTGATATTAGGAAGACAAAGACCCCTAAAATCTACATACCTCACCCAAACTGTTAAAGACATGACCTTCGGGGACATAATAGGATTAACCCACCAATACCAAAAGGGCACACTCACTCAGGTCAAAGTACATGACACAGGAAATACAAAGCCTTGTTAGAAGTAAGGTCTTCATCCTGGTTCATCCAAGCCAGGAATAAATAAGCAAACATGGTGACTGCTTTGGGAAGAAGGTTACAGTTTATTGCAGAAAGATGGTTCTTCAGGAAAGTGCAGAGGAGAGAAGGAGGAGAGAAGAAGAGAGAGATTGAGCACATGGGCAGTAGGTTTTTATACCCCCTCTAGCCTTGTTTGGAATAGTTTCCTGTTCCTGTGGCATGAACCTTGAGTCTGTTTCTGAGTGTTTGTCTAGGCCTTGATATCTGTGGTTTAATTCTATTATCATATCCTGCTTCCCAGGTGATGGGGCTGATTCCTAGAGTTTGGGTGGGGTATGCAGATCTTCTCTTTTGTCTTCTTGATTGCTCTGGCTCCAACTTTCTGATGGTTTTACATCTGCATTTGTATAGGGCTAAAGTCTTGCTTGGGGCAGAGAGATAGATTTGGGGCCAGGTTTGGTTTTAAAAAGTCCTTTTGAGGAAAAATATATTTTTCTGCCCTTTTTAATATTTCTTCTCTGGGCTAACTTTCATCAGCCTCAAACAGGAACAGGAATCACTTCAAAAGCCCAAGAAGGTATAAAAACCCACCACTTCCAGCTACATGTGGTCAGCTTTCCCAGAACTAGGCTCCTGTCTGGCTTTGCTCTTCAATAAACTCCAACCTTCTTTCTAAAGCAGTCTCCATTTTGTTTATTCCCAGCTTGGACTAGACCCTGATGATTTTTCTTTCAAAAGGATATTGGCACTTTCTGAACAGCTTTATAGAGTTCCTACTCATCATTCACTTACTTACTTAACCACGTGACACATTTCAAAACAGTTGATGAAAGATATTAGAAAAAATATCAATCATTATAAACCTTATCATATCTCTGAACACGTGGAACCTATTTCTCAATAATTGCCTAAAATTGGACTGAAGTTCAGCAATCTTGCCATTTTGAAATGAGTGGAATTTTCTGCCCAATGACAATTGTAATCTGTATCTTCAAGAACTAGTTTATTCTATCAGAGTAGTGGGTCTTTATGTCGCTCCCAAACGATAGTTATTTAGATGGAAACTCATGCTAATCTCTTGTAAGGCAAGTCAAGAGAAATCATTCTCCAGGAACCGGGAGGGTACAACCGCCTCAGCAGTCCGATCCCAGTGCTTGAACAAGGGACCAAAGGCGCATGCGTAGAATCGTATGTCAAATAATTGCGAAGAGCGGGGAGGGAGGTTACCGAGGCTGAGCATAAGCGTGGGGGCTTTGGAGCACTTCCGGTCGGAGCGCTTTGGATCCGGGGTAGACCAAAGCCTCAGCCATAGAGATGGTCTTGTTTAAGGAATTTCCGGTTTACTTCCGGCGAATTCTACCTGCCTTTCTCTTTCTCTCCAGAAAGGAAGGGAAGAAAACAGAATAGGCGGTTGGCCTCGGAAAGCGGTGGGCCTCGACCCTCAGCCGCTCCTTTTGCCCTCCTGAATTCTACGCCCTCGTCGGAGTAAGTTAAAGCAACCTTCGCGCAGGTTGTAGCCCGGAGCGGAAGAGATGAAGAGAGCGCCTCTTGGGCTTCTTCTTGGCCGAGCGGGGATCCTGCTGGGTCTTCCTTTTCAAGCGAGCGGACTCTTGGGCCTGGAGGGCTTTTAAGAAAAGGCAAGAGAGCTTGTTTCTAGGCCATTGGTTAGGATGCCCTAGGGTCCCTGCCAAGGCGAGTAACTTTCGGCGGGGCATCTGGGAAGAGAGAAATCTGGAGAAAACCAGCCTCAGAAGTGGGGATCTTCACGAGAGTCGGGGGTTATGATGCCTTGGCAATTCTCGGTGCCCTACACCACTTATTGTTATTATTAGGAATAACAAGTCACACGTCAATTCATGGTGGTTTGGGTATAAACGATACTTTCCTTTCAGGTACAGTATTCTCCTATACATAGGTTATGTCGTCTTTACAGTTTGGCAATTACTTCTAGATTGTCTTAAAAGGAGATGGAGGTATATTTCAACCTCACCTGAAGAAACTCTTTCTAACTTTGCAGACTGATTCTTTAATCCAAGAAAGATTGGAAGGTGAAGGTGAATGCTTTGCCAAGCCAATACTTGGAAACTCCTGAAAGTTGGTGTGCTGCATCTTTGATGAATTAGTGCAAAAAGGGTATCTACTAGCTTCTCCTGCATTTTTGGTTTATTTATTTCTGAGGATGTCTCATTTGGAAAGATTTGGTTCTTCTGGATGTTAATGGAAATCTATAAGAAAATATAAGCAATTTTTACTTAAGAAAAAAATTAAAAATACTGTTGATATATCCCAACAGTAAATGTCAGTAAAATGAAATCAAAGTGATTTGGGAAAAGTCATTTATAGTAATGGTATCTGGTAAGGAAGAGTATTAGTGTATTTATTGTTTTTAACCTCAGTTGTATGCAACTGCATAAGAAGGCTTTATTCTTATGAACTTCTCCACAGTTCATCTCCTATCAGTTTGTAAAATTTGATTTTAAAGTTTTCTGAATTGTTAACTATCAACAAATTTATAACAAATTCAATAATTTCAGTATGTGTTATGTAATTAAATATTTCTTTTTGTCTGACAATTGTTTGATAAATTTCAAATGCTATAAAAGAGAATAAAAATATGCTCCCCTTTTCTAATCCATTGTCCGTCAAACTAGCAAACTTCAGGGGATTTCAGTTCCTGTAATTCCCTAACAGCTTGACTATTTGTTAGCTAATCTGGGATTATGGAAATTGAAGTCAGGACACCTTGAGAACATGGGTTGGGTAAGTGTTTTTACACTATATACAAATATATGAATCTCATCACATTTCCTTTGTCATTTTTAAACTTATAGAATAAGTGATGTTCCTGCATAATTGCGGCAACCCCTTGATAATTTTGATTATTTTGAGATGTTATGATCAGAAATATATTGGAAGTCATTTCTACTCTTTCTTGAGCTGGCAAATTGCCAAACTAATGGCCTTAATGTCCATCATCTTAGAACATGGATGTCAAACTTGCCGCATCGTGTGATGTGTTGCGATGTACGTGACTTTTTTTGCATTGCCAGAGCTGGGGTGGGCAAGGTATGATGCAACCAGCCCACGGGTTGGCAGTTTGACACCCCTTTCTTAGAATAAGCTTTATTGAAGATGAATCAAATGAGAACAGTTACCAAAGGGAAGCATTACTTCATTTAGCCATTTGTGTACGGTGAGTGGGTCGGCAAGCATGCAAATGCAAATTATTTGCAAAGCTGTTAGCACTACAAGTTCCAGAAAAGGTAGTGAAAATAAATACATACCTCCTTTCCCTCATCATGGTAGAAATTATAATCAGCTGTTAAAAGTTCAAAGATATTAAATCAATGACATATAGCATATGGTCATCTTGTTTTACACCTGGTATCCCTGCTATTGGCCATGCAACATTGGGCTGGTGGGAGTTGTATCTCAGAATAAGACAGATCCATGAAGGCAATCCTGTTAATGATTCTTCAATGTAATGCTGAAATTGCCAGGCTGCTGGAAGACAAGCAATAGGAAAGGCTCTTGCTTCTCTGCCATGTTTGAGTTTTTGTGAGCAGTCCTTAACTTACAAATATTAGTTTTTCAAAGTTATATTGACACTGGAAAAAGTGACTTATGGCTGGTCGCAGCATCCCCACAGTCATGTATTTGATGATTGTCGCAGCATCCCCATGGTCATGTAACCAAAATTCGGATGCTTGGCAACCAGCATGTATTTACAATGGTTGCAGCATCCTTCGGTCATATGATTATCATTTGCAATCTTCCCAACCGGCTTCTGATAACAAAGGGGGGGGGAGCTGAATTTGCTTAACAATTGCAGTGCTTCATTTAACTGTCAAAAAAAAAGATCATAAAATTGGGAACAATTCACATAAAACCACCTTTCTTAGGAACAGGAATTCTGGTCCCAGTTATCCTACATCGAAGATTACCTGTAGTCTATTAAAGTTCTGGATAACATATATTGTTTGTATGAACTATTTTCAGTGCAGTATATTTTAACTGTTTGGTTTATTGCTTATTTTTAATTTTTTGGCAACTGCCTTGAGCTATATAGTAAATGGGCAGCCATATAAATTGGTAGAATAAATAAATAATATCAACTTCATTACAGATTTCTTTTGTATGCAGTGCAGATTATTTTTGATTGTGTTTCTGATACATGCATGTGCTAAAGAACTGAATGAAAATATATTTAAGATCTTGCTTGATCATATTGATTACCATATGCTATTTTCTCAATTTCTATAGTAGTTTGATGTCTATTTTGTAATCAGTTAGAGACTAATATAGTTGCAATTCTTTAAGTAGTCCTTTTATTTTTGGTATTATTATTCTGGATATCTATGAAAAATAGAAATGCAGCTTACTAAAGGGATATTATCACTGAAGGGATTGTATATAAACTATAATAAAGGGGGTCTGCTTTGACTTCATACAAATATAATACAAAAGTATTTCAATATTAATAAGTTATAAAATATGCAATATTATATAACTGTATAATTATATAATACAATATTATACCATACATGTTAATAGAAGTATTAATACCAAAAATGGTGAATATTATGTACACTTTTTTTGCTAAATATTAATGTAAATGTTTTGAGAATATATTTGTCAAAAATCATATCACTTTATAGTAATTATGAATAGAGTTTTTTTACTTCAGTTTCATTTAAAATTTATATAGGTAGAAGAATACATGTTCACTTATAGCACAGAAGAGCATGTTCCCAAATTCTTCCACTTTGAGTCGTCCACCTTTTCCACTAGAACACCAACGATATAATCTCTTCATTAATCTTCCAGTAAATGTACCTCCAGTTGTCTTTCCTCAGCCATTTCGGAGTACAACGTAAGTTTGGTATCATTTTAATACGAAGTTTATCAGATGTACATTTTCAGAACAAATCATGTGGGGTAGCACATCTTGAAATGTTGAAAATGCAAATCATTATAGAGAAGTAATTTTATATATATGTATATTTGTCTGTTTTAAAAACTGCATTAGAAGACAAAGTTGTGTAAGCAGTTTAAATAGTTTCTGATTCTTTTATAAAATAGTTAATACTTGTAATTCTAGGGTAGATACTGATGTGTTAATTATTTAAATAACAGTTTCACTGAATATGTGTGTGCAAATAATGTTTGTTCATCTAGCAAGCATTTTACAAGTAGGGAAATCCGATTGTAAGTCACTAGAGTTGTAAGTCGAGGTATCCACATGACTGGAAGTGATATTATGATCTTTTTTGCAGTGGCCATTAAGTGAACCTTGTAGTCGTAAGTGCAAATCTTTTTAAAAGGGGATTTTTTGCTGGCAAAAACCATTGTGAATCGTGGTCACATGATTGTGCAATGCCACAATTGGTCATAAAGATGACTAGTTGCCACGTACCGCACATGCAGTCATGTGATCATGGGGGGAGGGTAGCATGACCATAATCAACAGCAGGGAGTGCTTCATGGGCTGTAATGCACCTGTTCTATGGCTATTGTAAATGTGAATGATCAATAAGCAACTGGTCATAAGCTAAGGACTACCTATAATGGAAAAAGAAAATGAAAAAACAAAAGAAGAAAAAATAATAATAAAAGCGTGAAATAAATGGATTAGAGATTTAGAAGCATAATAAAACTGAGTAAATTAAAATAAATTATTAGAGCAACTTTAATACAGTTCTGGTTTTAAGAGCTTGGTAAGTTTCATAAGCAGTAATATTGCACTTTAATATCCTTAGAACTCTAGTGAATGGTACTCTTTCAACCATCCCACCTGTTTCACCACCACACTTTGCCTGTCAAAATGATAATCCATCGCATGGATCACCTACACCTATGTTATTCCGGCGCAGAAAGTAAGTAAGATATATAAATGTGACAGGAAGAATTTATTATATTTATAGAAGTTGTGGAACCAATGGCTTGTTCTGTACTTGCTTTTAACTTAAATTATTGTATTTTTATTTATGTATATATCCCGTTTGGAAATCAAATCAACAGCTTAATAATGTATGAAAATGTGCTGGGCAGTGATGAGTTTGAAAATTTTAGTTTCCAGTTTAGATTAACGATAGCGTGTGTCATATGAAATGAACAAATAATTAATATTGCCTAGTAAGTTTGAAACTAGCAGATATCATAAGGTGAGCCTCACATTTCATGTGACACTGGGTTAAAGATGAACAACCTGAAGCTGCAGAGTTTCCACCATCTCCAAAGATTGGAGGCAGCCCATCCTAATCTCTTTCCAAAAATTGCCACTGAATTATCATTTTTAATACAACAGAAGTGAAACATTAATTATCATTTTTAATACAACAGAAGAGAAACATTAAATATAAGTTACTTTGAAATGAGAACAAATTTACTTCTAGCTAGAAGTAAATTTTAAAATGTTTGAATACAAATAGCAATGGAAATTTTCTGAATTTACTGAGCTAAAAAAAGTTCAGAAAAAAGTTTAGAAAAGTTTAGAGACTCAGCGCACACTGGGACTTAGATATGATGTTACTGAACTAGATCCAGTGTAAATGGAGTTTTATCACAGAACGATTCTGCTGTGAGAATTTTTTTCTTCCCCTGCATTCCTTGGACTTAACATCCTCACTGTTCTGAATGTGTTCTTGGATATTCAAAGTACATAGGGAATCTAGGTTAGTTACAGGGAAGAGTGGTGGTAAATTGATTAAATGTTTTTCCATTCCATTTGTAAAAAAGTTTTGATGGCTCTGAAGCTATCTCCAAATAGAAAGTCCTTCCATTTTTAGAAAACAAACACTAAATCCAAGCCTGCTTTATTTTTAACTTGGTGCTTACTTTACTGGATAATGGAGGTCTCTCATGTTCAAAATCTGGAGATTTTCCTCATTGTTATATGTTTCCGTCTGAATGGGATTTATTTTTCAAATGGCTGTATACAGTATGTGTGGCTTGCTTTGTGTTTCTTGTCTTTCTACTTACAATATCAAAAATGTCAGGAAAAGAGTATCAACTTCCCAAAACCACAAGTCAAAAGTGGTTAATCACTTATTATACTGTGGGAAATACATCAGCCAAACTGTATAAGAGGAACCTGTGTGTGGTTTTTTTTTTTTTAAATGTGTATTAGTAAGATAACAGCTTCAAATTATATAATACAGCCTATATTTTTGTCTAATTTGGATGATAGTAATAGCAAAAGGAAATATTTAGAACATAATGTAGGTTAAAGTGCAGTTTGTATCTAAACTTGATACTTTCATCAAAAAGCTGAGAAAAGAAAACTTTGGCTTCGATTTATCAGCTTGTATTCAAAATGTAGCTAATTAAAAATATTTTTCTTGCTACAGTGTTTAAAAAGTATCTTTATGTTTCTCAAATGCTTGTGCTTTATCTGTTACATTATCAGCAACATGTACATGGCATTCAAATTAAGTAACTGAATGATTTGATTGTTACCACTGTGAGATATCCAGAATATTTTTTCCAAGGATTCATTTAGCTTTTAATTGGCCATTTGAATGCCAAGAAAGCCAAACACCTGAACATTCACTTGGCTGCAAATCTGTTCTTTGCTTTGTATCAGGGATTGTAGAGCACTAGCATTTTTATCTGCTACTAAATCAGGGGTGTCAAACTCAATTTCATTGAGGGCCGCATCAGCATTGTGGTTGCCCTCGGGGCCAGGTGAGTGTGGCCAGGGTGGGTGCAGCCTACTGGGTGGGCATGGATGCAGTGAGTGTGGCCTACTGGGTGGGTGTGGCCAGCTCCACATCATTCACGTCAAGGGTGCCTGTGGGGGCCTGGGCAGGAGTGGGACAGATCTGAGGGTCTCTGGCAGAAGGGCATGGGACCAGGGTAAGTGCCAAGGCATGGTCCAATGGAGGAGCCTCACTGTTCCTCTCAGACCATGCCGGGGGGGGGCTGGATGCTGGTGCGGGCTACCCAGAGCCCTGGGCAGCAGAGGTCAAGTGCCCAGCCTGGCCCTTGAGCACCCACAGCACGAAGCCCAGCCCCACTTCCTCAAGGCAGCTGCTCAAGATTCTCCTGGTTCCTTGCTGTTTTCAGACAGCCTTGTGGAGCTAAGATTGAATGCATAGATGGCCACCACAAAATTGTACATTGGCTCCCAGCTGGCCTGGGCCAGGGCTAAGGCAGAGGGGGCCATTTCCTCATTGTTTCCAGGATAGCTTCGCGGGCCACATGAAACCACTTCACGGGCCGCATCTGGCCCCCGGGCCGTGTGTTTGACATGTCTGTACTAAATAGACATGATCCATAATATTCTTGCTCTGAAATTTCACTAAAGATCACCTTAAATTACTGATCATCTATTTTCAGGGGAGTATTCCTTTTACATAACATTGGTGCATTTTCACTTTTTCTGATAAGTAATCCTTGTAATCTCACTAGAGGCCTAATGGTTATTATGATTTATTTGTGGGCTACTGCTTTGTCTCCTAGCGTCACATCAAATAAGCTTTTTTTCAAAGAGAAGCATCCACTGAAATCTTTGTATGGGCATAAAACTTATCTTGTATGCGGTGACTGCTGCTTTGTTTAAAAAATAATGGCAAGATATCCTGTATGAGTGGCAGGAATGTTTCTCAGTATTTCTGGAATTGAAAGTATGTGAATCTTTATTTTCAGACCACAGCATTCATAATTAACAAGATACTTGCTTGATTAGTATTAAACAAGTGTGTTGCTTATTGTGAATATTGTAGTTTAAAAATAATAAAATCATGTCAAACTTACTGAGGCTGTTGAAAGCAAGATGTTTTGTAATACACAATTGTTGCTTTCATATATAAATATTGTGAAATGAAATAGAGGTTCTTTTTTGCCCAGATCAAACACTTTACTGTCTGTACAATCTAAACCTACACAGACACTTTCTACATTTTGAATGGCTGTTGTGGTAAGTTTTTCCATCTGTTCTATCTTTCTTATCACCCTTATCACTGGGTACACATTGGACACAATTTCTCACTAAAGTACACTTTATAAAATGTGAACTTATTCTCTTGGACAAGGAGTATTTCAAAAACAGTATGGTTTGTGTAAGATTGTCTTCATCAGATCAAACTTTCAGTAACAAAACTTGTATGTATTTAATCTAGCACTGTTTTCCATGGGGCACAATTGGGTTTTCTGTTTAAAAGAATTTGGCAAATCCTTATAAAGCATAATGCACAGTTTTGTTGGAATATTCACGTTAATCAGAAGTATTTACAATTGAGGTTTTTGTTGTATATTTTAAGTGGAAAACTGGAATAATCATATCTTTTATGTTTTTAGGAGGTTGAAAGAAGAGGATGTTCCTTATGAAGTAAAGCGTCAGCGATTTCATTCACCTCATCGTGAATTAACTTCAGCTAACCAATTAGTGCCTTTAATAGAAGATCATAGATATTCATTCTCTGGATCAATTTCTTCGCCATTATTTCAAGCACATTACATCTCAGATTTAACAGGATGTGTGCCACCATTACAAGAACCTTCCTTTAATAATGCTATAGAAGCTACACTTCCTGTAGCCAAAGATAAGGTAAGATTGAAAAGAATATTGTTTATAATATTACAAAATAAGTGTTATAAGCACAAAGTCTCAGGTTGGCTTGAAGAAGAGGGAGTCAAGCCATTCTCCAAAGCCCCTGAGAGTAGGACAAGAAGCAACGGATGGAAACTAATCAAGGAGAGAAGCAACCTAGAACTAAGGAGAAACTTCCTGACAGTTAGAAAATTAACCAATGGAACAACCTGCCTCCAAAAGCAGTGAATGCTCCAACACTGGAAGTTTTTAAGAAGAGACTGGATAGCCATTTGTCCGAAATGGTGTAGGGTTTCCTGCCTGAGCAGGGGGTTGGACTCGATGACCTCCAAGGTCCCTTCCAACTTTATTATTGTTGTTGTTGTTATTATTATTATTATTATTATTATTATTATTACTTCTTCTTACAATTATGAATCAGTTTATAGAAACTCCACATTTCTATAGATGTAGAAGAGAAAATGCATTTTCTTTAAATTAGAAACTTGAAAATTAAAAAAATATATACTGTCTTCCTACAGAAGCTTTTTGTCCCCTTCAGTAGATTAAACACTGCCTCCAGTCCTAATCAAAGTGGGAGGAAGGAGGCTGTGTTTCATGCTGCATTAATCTTGTCATCCAGGCTAAGAACTATTACAGTAGCAAAGGTTTTCCACTACTTATTGCTGTATAGCAGTAATTTTAAAGGTAAATCTACCAGATTATCCAAAATGAGTATTCAGTTAAAACAAAATCCAATTTGCTTTTGACTGTCTCCAACTTCCAAGAATAATTGTTTCTTGTGCTGCTTAACTTCATAGACTTGAAATAATCAATCTCACTCATCAGGATCTAGATAATTTGTTATTTGCAGACAGATCTAGTATGAACTAGATAAACAATGTGGGATTGATGACTTTTTATCCTAAAAAGGTCTATGTTCAATAAGAATTAAAAAAAACATGGATTAATATTTTATATTAAATATAAGTTTTATATTTTTTATTCATAAAGTTAAGTCAGCAAGTACTGGAGTTATTTCAAGCATGTCAACAACAAACCTATGACTTGAACAAAAAAGAGCTTTGCCGTACTCAACTCCAAAGGGAAATTCAGCAGATCTTTCCAAGTATGTTATAATTCTGTATATTTATTATTCCGTACTTAGATTTTTGGTGTTTGAGTTCTTTCAAAAAAGAACACAATTTTTAAATTATTTTTGCCTTGCAGATAGTAGGCTATTTTTGGTTGGATCTTCATTGAATGGATTTGGTACTCGTAGCAGTGATGGTGATTTGTGCCTAGTGGTTAAAGAGGAGCCAGTAAGTACAGGAAAAATATTAAATCTCAATATCCATATGTTTTTTTAAAGAGAGAGTACTGAAAGGGAGATAAATATAGAACAACAAGTAAAACTAGTTTTTAAAAAAATCAAATTTAGCAATAAGGTGCAAGTTGAGCGTGTGCAAATTATTCATTGAAAATAGCTATTCATTCAAATGAGTATTCTAATATTTCCATGTAACATTTTGGGCAATAAAATAGAAAAATAAAAGCAATGTTAATATAATATAATGTAATGTATTACCCTGTCTTTATTGGATATACAGTATAAGAATTCTCCATAGTTATGCTTGCATGATTTGTATAAATTTTCTTGTTTACCTAATGGAAATACTTTTCCATCTAAGAAAAATAGAGAACTGCCTATTACAGCCATAACTTTTTTAAGATCACAAGAAGGACACATCCTTCGTGCAGTTTTTTCTGTAACAAAAATAAGACAATTAGTGGGGTGAGCTTTGCAATTTTAAAGAAGCTGTGTCCTTGCAAAAATGGAAAATAAAACCCCACCAGATAATTTGAAAGAAATCACTTTAAGTTAAAAGGGTGGCTTGCTGCATTACATGCTACATTAGTTTTAATAACATTTTTAGAAGGCATTTTACATCAGTAGTAAAAGCCACTAATAAGTGACTTTTGAAACAATAATTATGCAAATACACATCATATAGAGAATTCAGTTCATATGCTAAGAACTACTGCCTAACTACTGGTTCTGATTTAATTCCATTTGTCTGTTTTGTTGTTTGGATTTTTGAAATAGTGTGTGAGTGTGACTAATAGTTGGAAGCAAATTTGGGAGGAGACTGAAATACCACTTAAATGATTTATATAGTCATTAGCCTTATTTTGACGGAGACATTGATACTATTATTAACAAAATGAAATGCTTGGAAGAATTGAGCCCTATTCTCTATTTACTGTTGCTCTAAACAATTGCTGTAATCCCAATACAATTGAATGTGGCAGAAATTACCTTTCTTGAATGACTCACTTTTATAAGCTTCTATATTTTGATACATGAAATTATTGCGTGTGTGTTGGGAATTCTAAATGTATTGCCCATAGTTCTAAATTTCCTTGGGACTTCACATGATGGAAGAAATACCGCTGGTATAGTAGCTGAGCTTTAGCACATGGGCTGCTCTAAGCCTTGGACATCTGAGCTTGTTCCTGCTATCCTGTAATGAACAAAGGGCTTTCTTCTTGTGGGTTTACTCCTTTTCTTTCTCATTTTATGCATTCATTTGATAAAATGTTTCCACTTCAGAAACTACATGTCCAAATAATTCCATCTTCAAACATTATTAAACATCATTAAAACATTAGTGATTAATTTATTTCAGATGAATCAGAAGACTGAAGCAAGACACATACTCAGTGTTCTCCAAAAACACTTCTGTAGGAAGCTTTGTAAGTTCTAGACTATGTTTAGTGAAATGAATATTGTTAATTTGTTTATAGTTTTCATTAACAGAAATACACTCAATGTATTCTTGAGTTAATGACCCTTATTTGAATTCGAAATATATTTCTTGTGTGTGTGTGTGTGTGTGTGTGTGTGTGTGTGTTGTCAGTAGCATGTATTTTACAATTTAAGAACATTTCAAGAAAACATATTTTTGATGAAAATTTGTATGTTATATTTCTAGGGAAGTAGAATACAATGCCTTACAGCCAAAGTAAGTGGTAGATATTACGATAGGATAATATGCAGATTAATTTTCTGGTGTTTTAGTAAATGAAATTTCAAGCTAAAACAAGTTTTTAAACTCTGCCCATTTCAGGTACAATCCCAAAGACATGTTTTGGAGCTTACATAAGATCATCACATTTTTTCTGTTCATTAAAGCAGACAATCTCTTTTTTTATGTCAGTTCCAGAGAGAAGGCGATGCTGTCTTAATGAATTGAGTCATTAAAGTAACATGTATTTACATTGTCTCTTAAGGCAGAACCCTGTACAAAATCATGTTTTTATGAATAGCAGGGATGCACTGAGCTCTCACAAAGTTATTTGTACACACAGACACACACACACTTGTACACTGTACAGAGTCTCTCTGTGAGGAAATTGGCAGTTTCTAAATTAGATGGATAGTCTGAAGCACTTCTGAATATTTTTTAAAATATAAGCAATCCAATTCTGCAAAGTTAATTTGCTATATTTATTTATTGATATTTCTATCCTGCTTCAATGATATATTCTTTGATAATCAAAAAGCATACAATTATAACAATTACAATAATGATTAAGTTAAGAACCCTAGTCAGTAAAATACAATAGCAGCAACCCACAATATCTAAAGATACAAAGGTCTAGCAACAGAATATAATTTCAAGTTTCCTTTTAATACTCAGTCAGGAAAATATCTATTTGGTGACTAAGATTCAATGATTTGATGACACATAATCCAGCAATCAAACTGAATGTCAGCTGAAAGGGAGTCATCTGTTCATATAGAAAATCTCTATAAATTGAATAAAAATCCTGCCAGAAATGATGTAGCATGGCCTAAGAAGTTCTGTGCAATAAAATCACTAATTAGATTTTATCTATTTATTTAATTACATCTGAGCAACATGAAACTGTATAGGAAATATGTTCTGATAAATTTACTGCTGCAAAATAGCATTTATATTAGATGTTACAGGAGGTTTTTTTTGTTTTCTTTATAGCAGGCTACATTGAGAGACCTCAACTGATCCGAGCGAAAGTGCCAATAGTAAAGTTCAGGGATAAAGTCAGGCAAGTAACTGCAATTACCATTATTTTTTTTTCATATATTACCATTTAGACAGGGTGAGCTTACTAGTATGGGACATGTTTCTTAGAGTTTTCTATCCATCTGCCATTTGTTTTCTCATTGGTACAGTAATGGTGACAATCACTTACAAATATTACAGTGAATAGCGCTATTCAATTATTTCAGTGAAGTTTAAATATACTTTTTTCTGATATTTTATCTCTGTACATGCTTTTATTAGTAGAGAAGTGGCTGAAGTTGTAATGATTGATCTAGTTCAGGGGTGTCAAACTCAATTTCATTGAGGGTTGCATCAGCATTGCAGTTGCCCTCGGGGGGCCAGGTGGGTGTGGTCAGGGTGGGTGCGGCCTACTGGGTGGGCGTGGATGGAGTGGATGTGGCCTACTGGGTGGGCATGGCCAGCTCTACATCGTTTGCATCAAGGGTGCCTGTGGGGGCCTGGGCAGGAGTGGGAAGATCTGAGGGTATCTGGCAGAAGGGAGTGGGACTGGGGCAAGCGCCAAGGCATGGTCCATTTCTTCATTCCTCACAAAGGGTGACACTTCCCCAGCATGCACCCAGAGGGCAGGGCTGACGCGGCAGGGTCTGGTTCCTCGCTGTTTCTAGACAGCCTTGTGGAGCTAAGACTGAATGTGTTTCAGCATAGACGGCCACCACAAAATTGTACATTGGCTCCCGGCTGGCCTAGGCCAGGGCCAAGGCAGCGGGGGCTGTTCTCTCACTGTTTCCAGGATGGCTTTGTGGGCCATATGAAACCATTTTGCGGGCCGCATCTGGGCCCTGGGCCTTGTGTTTGACACGTCTGATCTAGTTCAAACAATAAAGCTAATTCCATTTACTGTTTTAACAGAATTAAAAAAAAATGGGGAACTTGTGGCCTTCCACCTACTACTAATTCCCACTAACCCAGTATCATGGCCAGAAATACACTGTCCTGTACAGTGAGAGCAGACTAGAGAGGGAAACTATGTAGCAAGAAAGCTTTAGGGTGCTGGATGCATAACCTGGTCAGCCAGTCCCTGAGACAAGCCCAGAGACCATTGCTGCTAGGCTGATCTTTTCTGTATTTCAGCCTATGTGTGGCAGTCAGCACCTTGGTTTTTTGGGTAGTGGAGAATTGATGGACTATAGAAAATGACTTGAAAGGTCACCATTTCGGTTTTGGAGAGCAAAGAATTGGTATATATCTTTCCATTATCAATTATTTTAATATCATGTATTTATATTTGGTGAGTCCTGGCTGCTTGTGTGAATAAGGAAGAGATTGTGCTACCACACCTATTCCCCAGTATATCTGTGTCTATGATCATTTTACCAATTAAATGTTTTTCCTGCTGTTGCTCAGGAGTTTACAGGCTTGGCCAAATTATCAGCAGAACAATACACTGAGCGTATTGAACATTTTGGCTATTTCAGAGTTTGCAGGATTTCCTGATAGTCTCACTAGCAGATTTTGTATCTTTCTTATAACTTGCTATTTCTCAAAAGGTTTGATTAGCAACTACGATCAATGCATTGCACTCACTTTAATTATATTCAGTTGTTCAAGCTCTTCTACAATTCATTAGAATCTGTTTTCCCAAGACCTTGATAAATGATGTGTCTGCTTCAATAAATGGCTTCTTAAGGAGCAACACTTAATTGTTGCTTGTTCTCAGCAGTAGCACATTTAAAGCTATAGTGCCTTTGAGCAAAAGCCAAGTGCATTTCGTTTACCACTCAGTATCAGTGGTCCAATTGTGCAGTCTAGAATTCATAGGCAGAACAAAGAGTATCTAAGATAGGCTGCCACACATGCTAATTTTACTATAGACCCCACGTGCTTACAGAAATAGTCACTTACTTCAATACCTAAAATACAGTGTTTTGCAACTGGACATGAATGGAGGACTTCATGATATATTTTTTCTCCATTATGCTTGTGTACATAATCAAATAATGATGTTGACCAAAAAGGGAATGCAAAGATACACTTAAGTGGACAAAACACTGATTTTTTGATTTGCCTTTGGAATGCCAGGCTTTCCAATACTATGCTTTTTCCAACATGGGGGCATCCCTGTCCAAGTGCTTGAAAGAAAATGTCATTCCTAGTGAAGTGGGAAAATCTAACATCCTAATAAATATATGGAAGTTGTTGCTCAACTCCAAATAGGCAGTACAGGGAGCATGCCAAAGAATTAGAGGGTTTTTGGGTTGCCAAATGTTGAAAAGACTATCTTTATTTTGTGTATATGTACACACATACAAAAGGTATTGTTATTTTACTACGGAGAATTATCTTGAAAATGAGGTTTTTCCATCATTGTTTTTAATGTAATTTAATTTGGATTTGTTTATATAAGTACTGGTGCAAATTAAATTTGATTTTTCTCCTAGCTGTGTAGATTTTGACTTGAATGTAAACAATGTTGCAGGAATAAGAAATACATTCCTTCTGAGAACCTATGCATACAGTAAGTAGTTTATTGATTGTATCATGGACTGGATTCCTTTTGGTATCCTTACTTTCTTTGAAAACTGAGGATACTCAGTACCTAAGATGTTTGGGGCCATACATGCAAACTTGAGAGAAACCATTGTACTGAAAAACCAAGCAAACATGATGATGGTTGTAAAAAACACGTCAGAATTCTGATACAGGTAGTCCTCAAACTTACAACCATTCGTTTAGTAAATCATGACTTCTCCCATTGACTTTGCTTGTCGGAATTCCCCTGGGAAAATCACAAATAGTGATCACATGACCCCAGGAAGCTGCAACCATCATAAATACATGGCAATTATCAAGTGCCCAAATTTTGATCATGTGACTGCAGGGACGCTGTGGCAGTCATAAGTGTGAGACTGTTGTAAGTCACTTTTTTTACTACCATTGTAACTGAACGGTTGCTAAATGAATGGTTGTAAGGACTAGAATAGCAGAATGTGGCAGGTAATATAACAGATTTTTTTTTTTGTCCCAAAATGCTCATAATTCCTAAATTTAAGTAGTATTAGGGGATGGCAAAAAAAGGTTTGTTTCTGGATAAATAAAATTTCCTGTGAGAGATTTTGGGTTTTAGCTGTTTTAGCTCAAATACTTTGGCTGCCAAATGAGAAGAGAGGATTCATTGGAAAAGACACTGATGTTGGAAAGATTGAAGGCAAAAGGAGAAGGGGACAGCAGACGATGAGATGATTAGATAGTGTCATTGACGCAGCAGACGTGTGTTTGAGCAGACTATGGGAGACAGTGGAGGATGGGGGGGGGCTGGCATGCTATGGTCTATGAGGTTGCAAAGAGTCGGACATGACAGTGACTGAACAACAACAACAAACCTTTAGTTAAGGAAAAGTATTTAGAGGTGAAGCTATGAAAAATGTTAATGATAAAAGGAATAGATTCTCATAGATAGGAAGAATTTCAAGTGTAATAAGTAAGGGCAAAACTATTTTAAAAAAAAATCTGTTAGTATACACAACCCTAGTAATGATACATGAATATGTACTCTAGTTGAGATGTCAGTCTTTTACACTGTATATGTCCATTGAATAACCATGTAAGTGTTCTGTCTGTCAAAATTTTATTTCTTGTTTATAGTTGAGAACCGAGTACGTCCATTAGCGCTGGTTGTAAAAAAATGGGCAAGCTTTCATGGTATAAATGATGCTAGCCGAGGCACTTTAAACAGCTATAGTCTTGTGTTGATGGTTTTGCACTATTTACAAAGTAAGTACTTGGTGAACTTTTCAAATGATTTTTGCCCTGAATATAACACTTGTCAAATTGTCTTCTTAGAATCAGTTGTTAAGAAACTGCTAGCAATGTCTCTAGATAAAATACTTGCTTTTGCTTTTACTTCTTTCACTTATGCCATGTTTTTGATGTATGAACGTTCTTCTCTGGGAAACATGCATATTTATGAAAAATACTGAAACAGTCTGTAATATAAACAGTTCTTGCTGTTTTGTAAATACAGTAGAGAACAAAATTTTAAAAATCAGTCATTAACATTGCTTTATTAACTGCTAACATTAATATTAACTGCTAAACTTTAATAGTTAACATGAACTATTTTAACGTTCTGCTAACTGACTATATTTTAAATGGATTTGAATATTTAAAAAACAATTGCTGCCACAAATTATTGTAATTTTCTGTTTCAAGCTTTGTTTATCAGGAATTCTATGATGAACAAAAACTGAATGCATGAGGATATACAGTGTAACCATCATTAAATGTTTATTACAGACAAGAAAAGCTTGATCTTATGTGTAAATTATTTCAAGAAAAATATATGTGCACAGATCCTGAGCTCATTGCAAAAAAGGATAAGATGAAATTATGCTAATCATTCTCAGATTCTGTTTGTAGTTGTGTATTTTAGCGATGGTAATTATAATTAGTCATTAGGGAAATAAAAATGGGGATTCTTTTTTAAAAAGTTATATTTATATTACTGTAGAAACTTCTCTTAGAGATTATAATGTGATAAGCTATTACCATTAACTTTAAGCCATACTTTATACTAGTATATAAGTAGTCCTCAAGATAATCAATGGTCACTTAACGGCTGTTTGAAATTATGACCTCCAAAAGCTACTTAGAACTATGTTTCGAAGTTACGGCTGTTGCAGTGTCCCTGCAGTCACCCTTACAATTGATCACAGGGATGTGTAGCGTCCCCGCCTTCCCCCTCCCATCCCACACTGCTGGTTCCCTGTAGGCCTTGGCCTATTCCCCACAAGCCTGTTACCCAATGCACATTTACCTTTTGAAGATCTCCAGACTTCATGATGGGGAAGGAGGTCAGGCCACTCATTCCTGGGCGGAATGGGGCTGACTTTCCCCAGCTGTTTCACCATGGCTGACTCTCTGCATCTAGTTTGCCACAGGACAACTCACTGGAGGACAACCTGCCACACGACAATTCAATGCGGGATAACTCAAGAGAAGGCCAAGTAGAATTGGAACTCACCCCAGCCTTGAATACCTGTAACTTGAGAAGGTTCAAACCCTAAAAAGCAAGACAAGACCCACTGTAATGGTCCCTTTCTTGAGTTATTCTATGTTGAATTGTCCCACAGTGAGTCAGATGTGGTGAGTCAGCCAGGGCGAGTTGGCCAGGTCAAGATGGCAGGGGCAAATCAGCCATGGCGAGTTCTACCTGGACCATATGGCCACCTCCCAGTCATTTTCAGCATCTCCGCAATTGCCTGGCCCTTGCCTACATGGCAGTGACCCAGAAGTGGATGCTGTTTGGCCACATCCACAAGGAATTGTGGGTGCGCTGAAAATTATGGTTGCTTCCAGAAGGCAGCTACACAGCCAGGGATGTGTGGCCTGCCCTCCATTCCCAAATGACTGGAGATTTTCAAAAGGTAAATTAGGGAGAAAGTCTGCGGCCCAGTGGGGTGGGAATCAGGCCTAAGGTCTGCAGGTAACTGGTGAAAGGGTGAAAAGGCCTCAGAGACCCAGTGTGAAAGAGGAAGGCCTGCAGAAACCTGGTGGGAGAGGGAAAGGCCTGCAGGGGCCGATAGGAAACAGAGTATAAGGTGTCTCAGGGATGGGGGACGCCTGAAGCAGGTGGACCTGGGTCTCCATTTTAAGTATAACTGGGGCTCCTGCACTCCTAAAGCACTCTGTGCTCTGCTTAACCTGCACATTTGTTTAACAGTTGCATCAGAAAGAGAAAGGGATGGGGTCATTGAGTGATACTATCTCACTTATTGGGCATCACCACTTGTGACTGTAATGGGCAGGCTCCATTATAGCCATATCTTGAGAACTATCTGTGGTATAGTAATTATAAAGTACATATTTGTTATCATACAGGTATCAGTCCAGCTATTTCATGTATCTGATGAAGTTCACAAAAGCCTTTGCCTTATAATAAAATCATTAACCAGAAAAGATTACTATAACACTCCTGAGTTTTGGCTACTATAATATATCACAATTTTTTGCCTTTAATCTAATTAATTATATTTTTTCTTTAAGTATAAATATAAGCATTGAAGTAAGACATTGATGGGAAACTGAGCCTTCTATAGACATACTTTGTTCATTTTCCTTTTGAGACCAATTAAATATGTTGATGCTCCAAATCATAAATTCTCTGACCTAGTGGAATTATATAGTTCACTCAAGAGTTTTGCAGATAAGGAGAGAAGGAGGGAGGGAGGGAGGGAGAGAGAGAGAGAGAGAGAGAGAGAGAGAGATATTCACTGATACATTCTAGAAGAGGATCAATTTGGACAGATTGGCTTTTTAGTCAAAGAGTTATAAAATTGCATATAAAATAGGCCTGTTCTTTCATGAGCATTTTCAACTTGGGAGTAAGGAATTGTTGCCCATTGCATGCCCTCAGGATTCTGATAGGTATTTTTTTTTAAAGATGTACAGGTAACCTTTCAAAGATCTCTGAGCTCCAGAACTCATGTTGGGGAAGGAAGGCAAGCTGCAGCATACCTTGGTGTCCTTGAGCCATGTAGTGTGGTTCCAGAAAGGGTGCCATTTTCAGAGTGGCCAGAATTCATTGCAGTCGCTTCTGTGATGAAGCCATGCAGCCCAGTCCTTCTCTAACACAAGCTCTGGAACAATTCATTGGGCTGCTCCACAAGTGGCATCTGCTTCTGGGATGAAGCATTTGTCCTAGGGACACTGAGAACAGAGCGCCCTGCTTCCCCCCTCCCTGTCCCCAATGCAAGCTCTGGAGCTCCAGAGATCCTCAAAAGGTAAGTGCATGATGGGTGATGGGGGGGGGGTCGGATGGAAAAAAATGGATCTAGGGCCCAGTGGGTGAGAAGTAGGCCTCTGGTCTGTGGGGTCTTGAGGGGGAGGAAGATGTGTCTTGGAGGGGAGAGGAGGCCCTGGGAGGCCCAGTGCAAGTGGGTTTGGCCTATACTAGGCTTCTCAGGACCTCTCCCCTGTGGTACCCGGTTCTCTGCTTTACAACTTATGCGGTGATCTAATGACCGTATCACAGAGAATTGGGTTGGAAGATGTTAAATAATGTGATCATATGGTCACTTTGCTTAATGACCATCAAAATTTGCAACTTTAATGGACAAGCTCAATTATAGTTATGAGTTGAAGAATACCTGTAAATAATTAGAACACAAGTTTTTATTCATTGTTAATATTGATAGTGGCTATTTTTAAATAAATTACATTTTCCATTCATTGAAAGCTAGATATTATTCCAGATATTATTGAGAAAGTAATTTACACCTTAATCCAATGTTGATAAATTAGAACTGCATAATCTGCAAAACCTAAAAACATTAATGTTTATAATTAAATAAAATGTCTTCAGTGTTGAAAATTTCACATGTCCCTCGATAAATTTATATTACAACTTTAGCTTAAATGAGTGTCATATTCTTGAATGTTTAATCAGTTTTCTCACACATGTATGTAGGTAATATGTTTAATTTAAAAAGCTAGAAATTTGAGTTTTGGGATAAGCATTTGATCCTAAACTTTCAGTTCACAATACTAGTGTAGCTGGTATGTTGTTTTCTGTGAAATATATGAATCACAGTGACTTTAAACTTTTTTTTTATAGCCCTACCTGAACCTATCCTTCCATCCCTCCAAAAAAATTACCCAGTAAGTGCTTCTTATAAATTACTACATAATATGTTTATTAAAATGATTACCTTCCACATGAATGTTGCTGTTACTTTGGGATGACAAAATATTAGACCATGTTTGTTAGAACTCCACAATGCTCCAACATGTGTATAGAAAGAAAGCAGACTGACACATTCATCCTTTTCAAATACAAATAAAATTTTAAAAGCCAATTCTGATTATGACATTTGGCTGAGAAATATGAATTACAGTATTTATTTCTATAAGTTGTATGCATGCCTTTTTTGTTAGCTGTGGAAAAGGCAATACCTACAGTTGGATTTCTCTTCTTTCAATGTCTTATGCACTATTAGATTTGTTCCAGAGGTTTGGGGAATCTCCCTGGGAAGATTTGGGAGGCATATGTTGGGAGAAGAGTAATTGGATGTACACCTATGAATCTAGATTGTATTTTGTGTTTAGAACTGCAGCATATTATCTTATGAATTTTGAACTGAATACTTTATTAGACACACAAGAAATTTGTCTCCAGTGCAGATGCTCTCAGTGTACATGCAGGGCAACAGAATAATGATAATCATCATCATAATAATATCAATAAGGGGGGAGTAAAGAAGATAGTAAGAAAGATAAATAATAATACTACAGCCTACTACATGGGTAAATACACATAGAGATGATCCATTCTGCATGGCAGTACTGTGTTATCTCACCTTGCCCTGATGGTAATCTACCTTTTAATGTTTTACAGGTAGGCCTTGACTTACAACAGTTTATTTAGTGACTGTTCAGACAACAGCATTGAAAAAAGTGACTTATGACCGTTTTTCACACTTACAACTGTTGCAGTATCCCCATGATCACTTGATCAAAATTGAGATGCTTGGCAACTGACTTATATTTGGTTGCATGTGATCATCTTGTGACCTTACAAGCAAAGTCAATGGGAAAGCCAGATTCACTTAACAACCATGTTATTAACTTAACAACTGCAGTCATTCACTTAACAACTGTGGCACAAAAGGTCGTAAAATAAGGCAAAATTCACTTAACAAATATTTCACCAAAAAATTGAGCTCAATTGTGGTCGTAAGTCGAGAACCACCTGTAATATATTCACTTTGAACTTATTTCCATAATGATTTTTTGCTCTGCTTCTGCCCAACTATTTTTTAAACATTCTTGTGAAAGTGATGTTGCTGATAAATTTTGATGCTGAAATATATCAAAACATTGATATAATAGAAAGATGTAAACTAGCATGCAGGACACTAAGAACAAAGTGGGTGATTAAAGTATGACAGTTGCATAGAAAATGTGGAAGCAATTTAAAACTAACTCTGCTCCTCTTATATCAAAATAACTAATTAAAAGTTCCTGATTTCAGGATAATGCTTGGTAAAGTAACGTAGTAGGGTCACTCATTTTTATTTTATGAAATTGTTATTGAAATAAAAAGTTGAACAAAATTTTTCATTGAAATTAATGTATAGTATAAAGGCTTTTGATATTTAAATACTTAATTATTAAGGTTCACCGTATTGGAATATTTCCGTTTTCAGTTATGTTGAATCATTAAAAGATCCACACTATATATGTTTATAATCTCAGTGGAAAAAATGCTTTTTAAAATGCTGGACATGCACAGTTATATATCTAAAACAAGTAACTGCACATTATTAAAAGACTGTAAAGATCAGTGGATAGTTTTTTGACATAGCAGCATTTTAAAAAAGTAGTTTTAGCTGAGATGTGAGAATACCAACTCTTAAAGTAATATTTAAGATCAATAAAACAATATTTGATTTAGCAATTGCAGTTTGCAGTTATACATGTCTTTCTATATAAATATTTTCATACTGCAATATATTTGAAATGGTATTATGTCACCTGTTTATCAATTAACACTGCTTATTAATATGTAAGGATTAGAGGGCTTTGGATATAGTTCAGAATACATTCTTTGGATCATACAGAAGTATGAAAATGGCACCTTGATTCACTAAAACAACCATGTCATTTTCCAGACTTACATAGCTGCTGCAGAAGCTACACATTACAGAAATCAAATGTGGCTGCCTTTATATGATGTTGGGTTTGTGTTTCCATGGTTTTGAACCAAAGCATTGCATAGCCAAAGCACTGCACAGCCGTAATAACTGGACTGCTTTAAATATAGTTTATTTTGGATATTTAGCTTGGATCAGTCTGCCGATAGAATAGGACTTTCAAAATTAATCCTACTGAAAGGACGGAGAGTTTTTTTCAGTACAAACACCAATTAAAACTGGATGTTATCCTCCTGGGAATTTTTCAGTGTTGGATAAAATCCAAATAGTGTATGCCCTCAAGAAAATATCTAAGAGGCATTAATTGCTAATGCATCGTTGTGTTTAAATCAGCATGTAGGTCTACTTAGAATTGAGTTTAGAATTCTGTTCAAAATCACAGGGAGCACTTCTTGAAAACTACTTCTTTAGGCATGTTTAACCAGAAATAAAGCAACAATTGCTAATATAGCTCTATTTGAGAAGCAATTTGTGACTGTAATATTATACACATCTGCTGAGATGTACATTTTAAAAATTCAGAAGAACGGTCCAGTATATTTTGTATATTTATCAAGGGGTAAAGTAGTGTGAAAATATTGCTTAGTTGCAAAAATCATGATAGCACCTTTAAGTAAGCAAATGTTCCCAAGGACTTTTTTGTTGCAAGGTGCCTGGAAATGACCAGATGCCAGAGCACTTGGGAGCAAACCACAGAGGAAGCAGAATCAAAGGTAAGGGACTTGCTGCATCAGATGCTATGTGGGACACTTTGGGAATTGCAAATGCCAGATTAGGTAAAGACTGGAATACTTTAATTTAACTCATTGTATAATTTAGCTTTGTCCATAATCTGGCAAGATTACTGAATAATCGGTGTTTATTTAAATGATTTGGCCTTGTATATGTTTTCTTCATTTATTTTTTCTCCTTAATGTGGTCATTGGCATTTCCTGGGATAGTTTTCATATTGCTCCATTTTTTAGGGGCTTTTTTAAGCTTTAAATTTGTAAGCTGCCCAGAGTTACCATGTGATAAGATGGGCAGCCAATAAATTAAATAATAAATAAATAAAATTTAACTTAACCATTTTGCATTAATAACTATAGAAATTCATGTTGTCTTTGTTGTAATCACTGTATGCTCCTGTGTTAGTCAACATAACTAGTTTAGAATATCTGGTGTTTTCAGCAACAAAAAGCAGAAATTATGTCTTTCTGCCAAGGGATGGATATTGCTTTTTTTTTTTTTTTTCAAAATGGCATTTTTACATACTCAGAATTACACAAGCATAACAGCAATTTGGAGAGTTTTTTTTGGCTACTGTGCTGTTAGGAACTAAAAGGGTCTTTTAAAAAGAGTTAGGTACTGCAAGCAAGACTGCAATGATCCATTCAACCAACTTGAAGTTATTTGTTTGGATACACTCGATTTGGGCATTCAAAATGAGATTTCCCTATGAGTATTCCCAGGAATACCTCTTCCCTTCCCCACATCAATATTACTCAAATTACATTAACTCTTTCCATCTACATACAGTACATAAGGTAGATTTCTTAAGGAGAGGGCAGGCTTGTGTGATTGTTCTTGCTCACATGGAAGTCAGTCACCTGAAAACTGAATAGAGCTACATATTTCTGGTTTCTGATGTCTTCAGGATGAATTTCTGTTTGATCCAGTTTGATTAACAGAAGTGCAGTGCTTTAGTATAAGGGTGAGATGGTTTAAGGAGGAGGGATTTAGATGCATTGAATTAGATTAGGATAAAGAAATGTCAGAGGACATTGGGTGGGCTATTTCAGGAAAAAGAAGGTTGCTAGTGTCAGTTTCAACTTTTGGTCTGGGGAATCTTGGCTTAAACTGTTGGTAAACACCAAATTTATATGGACAAGACCATGTTTATCTATGAGTTGGGGGGGATGAGTAGGTGGACCTGGTTTGTGTTACCCAGACATGATTTGGACAGCTAATATTGCTAAAAACTATTCTCCTGGATTTCAGGTTAATAGCAATTTCAGTACCAGGCTGGGAAGTGGAGATGCTGTGGTTGACCTTCAAAGACATTTGTAGCTAGGGACTCCTGCTGAAATAGTAGGCATATATGTTTAATTTAGCCATGACTTTATGTTAATTTAGGGTTTAGTTTAGTTATACTTTATATACATATAACTAAACTGAGCTATATAGGGTTAATCTATATGTTAATTTAGGTTTAATTTAGGCTGCATATATGTTAATTTAGGCCAGGGGTGTCAAGCTTGCAACGTCATGTGACGTGTCATGGCGTATCGCTACTTTTTTTCCATTGCCGGCAATGGGGTGGATGCGGTTTCGCTATAATGCATCAGCCCCGCAGGCCGGCAGTTTGACACCGCTGATTTAGGCAATGGGGACAGTCTAGGGATTATGCTGTTATGCTGATTATCTTGCTATCTGGGATAGCTTCCTGGGCTCTGGACTTGATGCCAAGACTGGGTTTGGAGTTCTCTTACCTGTTACTGCGGGATAATTCCAGGTTTCATATATTGGGTATTTGATCCAAGAGAGACCAGGTTTTTATAGTAATTGTGGGTTTATTTCAAGTATTAGTTAACCGGACATGCATATATACTTATTCGTAAACTTCTGGGAATCCTAGATTTGTGTTGGATCAGATTTGTTTTGTATTAAATCTGGAGAAAAATGAATTGCAGATCTGAGTTTAAAACATGAGCTATTTCTATCACATGAAATTTCTGATTAGGTTCTACGAATTGTCACACAAATTATCTCTTCCCCTGTTTTGCACAAGTGCATTTTTAGCAGTTACAAAATTATGACTCCATTGAGGCTAAGGCTTTATGTTATAACCACTGCCCCACCCCCAGTCTTATCAATTGAAATGTTCTTAATTTGACTGTATTGTATGCCTCCTTTGGATAGGCATTTAACTAAATGCATTTGCATTTTAGAAATTTACAAAGAAAGGCAAATTTGCATCTTGGCTTGGCTAATTGCTGTCATGATTAGTGCTATGTCAGAGCTCACAGGGTGGGTTTGGGTAATAATTCCCTCTGTGCAGCCCATTTTATTGTTTTATTATGGAGATAAAAGGTGGTAGCTGCATTTATACAAGCCTTAGGTTTTGAAGAGATACAGTGCAATATAATGCAAAAAAATTACAATTCCCCCACCACTTCCTTGATTTGTATTTTATAACAACCTTGAGCATCTAAAGAATGCTTCTTACTACGCCCATTTCTCAAAATGGCGAGGTAAATCCTTCTGAATCCCATCAGAAGTGTTTAAACAAAAATACCCCTCTCACTACCACATAGCAACCTGCATTATTTATATATTTGGAGATTCATGAAATGGTCTGTTTAATCCTTCTGAAACTGACAGAATCTGTGTCTCTAACTTATGTAATCTAAGTGAATAGGGGGTTTTTATTACACTTTTCTATCAGTTTTCCCTGAGGGGCCTCAGTTACACTATTTTGTGTGGAAACTTAGAAATGGGATTATTTGCACTTTTTTAGAATGCAAACTGGCACAAAATGCAAGGAGACTCATGGAGGTTTCCTGTATATTTGTAGAGATTTCCTATATATATTAAAGGAAATTTATTTTTCTGGCCACCACAGTAGAAGAAACTGTTCAGCTTTACTTATCTTGATAATTATCAGCTTCAAGAACAGCTGCTGTTTCCATTGTTTAAAACATATATATTGAGATGCATTTAGCATCATGTGTACTTCCTCCTTGAGAGAGAAAAATAAACCCATGCATTCTGTACATCAGACAGATATTAATGTCCATTTCTTCTATTGAAATTGCTTGGATACATTGCCTTATATATTTTTCTTCATTGTATCTTTCTGAAGTTCATGATGTTTTTTTCTAAAGTGATTGACCAAAACTATGATTTTTCAAATTTATGGGTTCATAAAACAGTAATTGGTGACATGGTATATCTTTTCACCACTTGGCAGAATAACATAAATAAATGGCTGATGCCAAAATGATCAGTTGTTAAGCTAGCATATTATAGATAATTTTATATTAATCGCCAAGCAGGAATAACTTATGGATGATCACAAGGTCAACAATTTGGTGTTGTATCCTTACTTCAGAATGGAATGGCATAGTGAAAGGAATAGCTCTACAGCAGAGCAAAGATGTTTATATGAAAGCAAAAAATCTGTTTTCAAATTTAGTTACCTTCTTTCTTTGTTGGTCTTGGCTTTATCACTCCTTGCTGTAGTACATTGAGATTAGTGAAGAATGTTTCAGAAGTGTCAGAAGACATAAAGGCTTTACATCTAGAATGCTATGTAATTGATTAATAACATTATTCAAGTAATTGCTTAATTTTTCAGTTCAGCTGAAACAATTGTTATGAACATTTGATAACAACTTTGATTTGTTACATGCAAATGGACCAGAATGGTAAAAGTCTAGAATTGATCCTTCCTGTCACTACCTTTTTCAGAAAAGCTTATATGTGTAAGATTTAATTGAGGATTGATGACTGCAAGTGAAATATTAGATTGCTCAATCAAAATAAAAATGCATTTATTGCCTGGGAAACATATATGGGTACCTATATGGCACAGGACCAGGTTTTTATTTATTTTATTTTGTTTATGTATTTAATTTCTATAGCCACTCAACACAACCAAGGGACTCTGAGCAGGACCACGTCTCTATAGGAACACCTACCTGTCCTACCAGATCAGATAGGATGACCATGATCCTACTCCTTCCTTTAAACATTATCATCTTATGGGAAGTGGCCTTTTTCCATGGCAGTCCCTGCCCTGTGGAACATCGTTCCCCCTGAGGTTTGGCAGGCCTCTACCTTCCAAGCCTTCCAAAAAGCACTTAATATTTGAGTTTTCCCCCAGGCGCTGGAATAGGGTGAAGCAGAAGAGAGGATTTAACAAGGAATTGCAAGTGGGAGCTTAATTTTGGTGCTAGATTTTTAATGTGTATTGTTTTCATACATATAATTTGTTTTTATTATTGATGTTGTTTTAATTATTGATTGGGAGTCACCCAGAGTTTGATATAAAATGGACAGCTACGTAAATGTTTCAAATAAATATTAAAGCTTTAGCTACCCAATACAGAAACTAAATATTGCAAGAGATTCTTAAACTATCTCTTTCCTCTATTTTTCTTATCCATGTTTTAAGCATGTTATTTAGTTTTATTCAAATCAGAAAACAGGATATTAAAGTTTTTATTTTAATGCAGTTAGTCAAAAGAATTAACTGAAGCAAAATCAATAAACAAGCCATCATCACTTTCTATAAATATTTGTCACTTGTATCCTACTGCTCTGCAGAGAAACTCAGATGCGCATATATGAAGATTTCTTGTTAGGGTGGCTGCTTGGTTGTATTCCAGCACTTTGCTCTCCTGTTCCATTTTATGGGACATTTTTAATTATCTGGCAGCATGACAGACCTTTTCCTTACTTGCTATAAATTAACAAAAGAATTAGATTAAATGTGTACAATTTTCTTTGCATTAAAAAAAGAAGTAATTTAGGTTGGCAGGTAATGGTCAAATGCCTGAAGATTTAGGAAATTTATGAATGGCAGAATGATAAGCAAAAACAACTAAAAGCTGATATACCAAAACTTTTAGAAATCTTTCAACTTCTCTCTTGCACAGACTTTGTACTTTTTTCTACAGTGTTGTGTAATATGAAGATTTGAAAAGAAGCAGGCAATAACCTGCTCAAAACTATTAATATTACTTATTTTGTAGACGAGAGGCTTGCACATTGAATTTTTAAGAGACTGATCAAATTGGCATATTAAAGTAGGAGTTCTATATATGAAAAGAACGTATTTACTTTTGAAAGTATCTGAACAGATTATATACAGCATCACTTCTGGTCCATAAATAGGACTTCAACCTCTATTTTTGTTTCTTTGTCTTTACAGGAATCTTTTGATCCTACTATGCAGCTACATCTTGTACATCGAGCACCATGCACCATCCCTCCTTACATTTCAAAAAACCAATCTACACTTGGAGAGCTATTACTAGGTTTCCTGAAATACTATGCTACAGAATTTGAGTGAGTGATCAACTTTTCATTTTAACAACTTTTCTGGTTGCTTTGTTCTACTCTGGTTGCAGTTTATAGATGAGTTCCAATTCTTCTCTATTATCATTTAAGGAGCAAAGGGTTCCTTTTTAGTAGCTTGTTTATAATGGAAAAAGAAAGCTGGATAGAGATAAGTTAAATGCTTACGTGTAGAGACAGGCTTAAAATGTATGACATAATCTACTAGTTAGATTTGGCAGTCTCTAGTTCACAGTTGTTCAAATGGGTACAAACCATATTTAAAGGAGCTCTGTTATACTTATCTAGGTAGATGGTAATGATGGTGACACAATTATTTGGTATTATCTGCATTGCTATTTTATCCTGCTTTTCTATATCTAGAGAGGTACTATATCTTCTCTTGTAGTGTTTAAGATGGACTCATTAAGATCTGGATCATTCTCTCTGGCACTGTGATACTGGAGTTCGTTTGTTTTTTCCTTTAAGGGTATCTTATTTTGTTCTGGTGCTCTGTGCTTCTCGCTGCTATTCAGCACCAAGTGCCATTTCTTAATTCACAAGGCAGTTTTCAGTGAAAGGATTCATAGGAGTCTTCTCCATCATTGACACTTTATATGTGGATTTCAGCTCCCAAGATTCCCTGGTCAATATGGCCATTGTTAAGAATCCCAGGAGATAGTTCATACATGTTGAGAGCACTTAGATTAAGCAATGCTGTTTCAGAATGAAGTTGCTGCCTGATGTTGCTATGCATTTAGTTAATTGTGATTTCTTCATGGTGATTTGGCCTTTTGGTTAAGTTTGCAGTATGTAAACCTGAACTGTTTGGCAGGATTAAAAATAACATCATAGCAGAACTGGAATTAATTGTACAGTGGCATCCGTTAAATACAAAGTAAAACATTGAAGCATGATGATTTAATTTTGCTTTCTTGTTGCATTTGAATCAAGTTACATGAGCTGTGTTTCTGCTGAGTTACATGTGGGTGTTTGGAACAAAAACTGTTTCTAGTTCACTGCCATTCTTTTTATTGCCTGTAAATAAATTCTGGAGAATAGTGTGGGAAGTGACCAGTATTTTCCGAGATAGTTTTAAGTTTATAAACTCCTTGGAATTTGCAACATTCATCTGTGCTTTGCATAGGTGATACGAAAACAATGAGTTCTGTCCCCTATAAGGATTTTTATCAGATTTGAGGGAGACAGCAGTCTTTGCACTGCTCAAGTTTCTAGAGAAGTCAGGAGGGTAGAGCATGTGTTACATGAGGCTAACAGAAAGTGCCCAGGCCCATACAGGAGATTTTTCAAAACAGGGATGAGAGCAGAGCCAAGCTCCTTACTTTGTGTTAGCTGCTGGTAAAATTAACAGACATGCTTGGCCACTTGAGCCTGACAGCTAACCAGCCTACAGTCCAGACAGGACAGTTACTGATGCCACATCTTTACAGGAGAAAATGCTCTCTACCTTGTACACAAAGCGATACCCTACCCCCTCCCTGTGTTAGTGGGATAGCGAAGTTTTCATCCTTTTAAAACTGATCCAGAAAGAAAACAGGAAACTGGCAACAACTCTCAGACCCATGGATTAAAATCTGGATTTTCCAGGAAAAAACTCATAAAAACTAGAACAAATGCTTTTGAAGGAATTCATAACAAGTTTAGGGAGGGATTTGTATTAGATATTGGTGTTTTCATTTCTGTCTGCAAGTACACCAGTCATGTATATTTCAATATATTATAGACATCTTGGGTTGTGCTTGAGGAAATAGGTACCTTTTGTGATTTTAAAATAATAACTTGAAATTTCATTCTATTCTTTTTAAAGTTAGTTTTTAATTTGTAATACATCAGATCAGTGGTTCTCAACCTGTGGGTCGGGACCCCATTTGGGGTCGAACGACCATTTCACGGGGGTCGCCAAACAACGTAGTCCGCCATTTTTTTCCCCCTTTTCCTTAGCTGCGCTACTCCCTTTCATTCTATTGGCTTTTGAAAGCCAATAGAATAGACTCTCTTGAATAGAGTCTAATTCTATTGGCTTTCAAAAGCCAATAGGAATTGTCCAGGCTGTCTCTGCCCTGCTGAGCCCACCAAAAGTCCCATTCTGCAAACGGTGCTGCACCAGTTGAGTAGTCCTCAACTTACGACCGGTTGAGTAGTCCTCGACTTATACCAGTTGGGAGTCACGGCATTAAAAAGGTTGAGAACCACTGCATCAGATTGTACTGCTTGGAGCATTGTAATGCAATTGGGCCATCACCCAAGGAAGGGCTGAAGCACTTTTTACATTCAATTTTATATGGACAGGAAATGGCATTATTGGAATTACACCTGGATAAGGGAGTAGACGTCTGGTGGGGAACTTGTTGGAAGATACATGATGGCAGCAGGATCTGCCATGTTGCATTACTCCAAAACAGGTCTCCCATGTGAAGATTCAGAGGGTTTCTAAGATCTATGGCCATCTACCTTTTGGGTTTATAGTTTTATTTTTAAAACGAAAGTATTGTCTTGTCCCTTGTACACACAGGCATAGGCATTTGTTCCCCTATTTTCTAAACATCTCTAAACTTGTTTAGCAAAGATAATAGAGGCTTGCATATACAAATGTTGTTTTTATTTCCAACTTGTGGGCTTAGATTAGAATGGGAGGGAATGCTTTAGAGATCTCCTGTGTGTTAGTGGGAAGAAATTTTTATCTGCCTACCATCAGAAGACTTCTTGAGGGACAACTTGTCACATTCCGAAACTGTTGTACCTGCAACCAGGTCATCCAGTCCAGCCACCTCAGTATGACCCACTGACCACTTCAGTTAAACAAAATAGGATGCTTAATTGATTATATAGAGGCCTTTGATTCAATCATAAGGTGCGGACTACACTTAGAAAAAAGGGAATCTCAGAATATCTCATTTTCCTCCTGAGAAATTTATATTCAGGATTAAGGGACAGTTCTCCCCTCCCTATAGTCCGATCTGATTTGAATTCAGCAGCCTTTTAAATGATTTATTTCCTCTTCCTGGATGCAACAATTGTATTTCTATTTCTAAGGGACGTAGATAGGAACTTGTGTTAAAGTCTAACTTTTCTAGGATGGTAGTCCACTCTAATATTTAAAAATCATTTCCCAATGGCTTTTACATGAAACCTATTACATTTTATTCAAAAATTTTAGACAACTATTTTCCCTTTCTGTTTGCTAGTTGGAACAATCACATGATTTCAGTTCGTGAAGGCAAAGCTATTCCAAGACCGGATGGTATTGAATGGAGAAACAAATTCATTTGCATAGAAGGTAAATTCTACATCCTTGTCATAATTTATGTTTTCTAGAATTGTAAATTGTCTGCTGATATAAAGTAATTTTTTAGTTTTTATTTAATTTTTTAGAATTTTTAGTTTTGCTTCTGGGTGAGTGTAGCTCTGGGACTCATGGGCATTACATTAAGAGTGAGACAAGGCTTTGCACCTTTTTTTTTTTCTTTTTGGTCCCTTCAAATCAGTTTTGATTGTAGGCAACTGCCTGGACTAGTCCTTAAAGTTTTCTTGGCATGGTTTTATTTCAGAAGTGGTTTGCCATTGCCTCCTTCCTGCTAAGAGAGAGTGATTGGCCGCAGCTGGTTTTATGCTTAAGGCAGGATTAGAACTCACAGTCTCCCAATTTCTAGCCCGACACCTTAATCTCAGACCAACTGGCTCCTTTGTACCTTTGTTGTACATTAATTTGCTTGATTTAAACTGCCCAAAATAGGAAAAATTGGGGATGTTTGCAGACAGATGCTGAGAGTAATATATAGGCCCTAGGCTGCCTACTTCTATATTACATGGACAAGGTAAAAGGAACCTCAGGCTTATATATTTTTTCTCTGTGTGTGGTTAGGAATTTAGTATTTTGATTTGTGGAAACCACTGTTTACCATTTCATTAAACAGGCTAACTATATTCCTCTCTGTTAATTTGTTTTAAATAGTAATAATGTATTTATCCAAAATAAAAACAGCCCTCCACTAAAGAAAGTTAGAAGCAATATATATCATATGCCAAATTTTAATGTGGGAAGAGAACATTCTGGAAAACTCTGGAATGCCCCCCTTTCCTCCAGACTATATTGAATCAACTTGCAGTTCCTGGGGTGGAAGTTAACCCTCCAAATCAGAGGCAGGTTCAGAACACCCTTGAATTGTTCTGACTTCATAGGATTTACTTCTTGAAATCACATCAAGCCATTCCCAGAAAACACAGAATGGGAAGAGGTTCAGCATTATCCCAAGGGATATTAAATTGAATGGAGCTACTGGTTATAAATAATTTCTGAAGACCTTCCTGGAAAGCCATGTTTTCACTATTTATAGAAGGCCTTATGGGTGGCACTATATATGTACAACACTTTTTAAATGTAGTTACATTTTTGTTCTACTTTCAACTGTTGAAGTGGGGAATTTTGTTTTTGCTAGAAATGTCTTTTTAATAATAAATTAGCAAAAAAATTTAAAACATTCTAAATGTGTATTAATTAAAAATCTGTCTTTAGGGATAGATGTAATCAAGGGATATATAATCAATTGATAAAATGCACGGAAAAGGATCATTTTGATGTTTCTTTGCAAAGTAAATTAAATTTAAAAACAGCATTGTGAAAATAGTTTGAAATAATGTCAATGATTCCAACAATTTTTCATAAGTGTATAGTTAGAGAACTGCTACTTTATAGATAGATAGATAGATAGATAGAGATAGATAGAGATAGATAGATAAACTGATATGTAAATATAAGTAAAATTATACATAATTCAATTTTTCCAGAACCTTTTGATAGAACAAATACTGCTAGAGCAGTACATGAAAAACAGAAGTTTGAAGTTATCATAGATGAATTTCAAAAGGTAAAAGTACATAAATCTAATAAAACATTTTATTTAAGTTAATTGTATGTAACAATTGTTCCAGGAAAAGATTTGTCTGTAATAGACACAGTGTATATATCTATTCTCTTCATTTTTTAAGACTGCTTTTCTGTACGTTGCTGACAATGACACAACTTCCATTTCCCAAACAGTTACTCCAATATACCTGACAAATACCTTTCAGTGTTGCAATTTTCTTTCAATATAGTCACAGTAAATTCCTCTTTAATATACTTGTTTTCCTTAGATTGACTCTTAAGAATTGGTTAAGTAATTATTATGGCATCTTGTTTGACTATAGATTGATTTTTATTTACAAAGCGAAGAAATGTGTGAAGGGTTGACAATGAGGAATTCATTCTGTCAGTAATCAGTTAGTCACAATTTTGCCTTTTGTTCATGTCCCTCTTTTCTCCTGTGTTCAGTGGGCTGAGAAAAAAATGACTGGCCCAAGACATCTTACGTTTGAACTTCAAGCTGAGTTTTCCTAATGCGAGGGTTAGGGTTGGGCAATAAGTGATATCACCCCTAAAATCTGAATTTCTAAATTGAAGTACTTTTACTGTGCAGTTCTGAATCCATAGAACTGAAAAGTTCTTTGTTTTTGAATTGCATTACAGTTACAATTTAATTGTCATGTTTTCCCGAAAGTAAGGCCTACTCCAAAAATAAGACCTAGTTTGATTTTTGCGTATGAGCCTAATATAAGCCCTACCCCAAAAATAAGCCCTAGTTTTGGGGTGAGGCACACACTTAAAAATCAAGCTAGGGTGGGGGTGGTGTGGATCTACCCCATGTGCCATGCACCCATTTATCTTGCAGCCAGGCCTCTCCTTGCTGGCCCATTTCTTCTGTGGCCTCTTCTGCATTTCGCAGTCACAAGCCTTTCCAAAAGGCCTGTGCAGCCAAGAACCGAGCTATGGATTCAATACATAGCTCGGTTCTGCAAGACCTCTGCAGCCAAGAATTCTGAAAGGCAGAGGCCTTCCAGAAAGGCCTGACTGCAAAATGCAGGCCAGAATGCACCTGCAGAATGAAGCTTCTTCTTCAACCCCAGAAGAAGTGGACCTGTTGGGCGAGGCTGTCGGTGCCGGAGGTGAATAAGACATTCCCTGAAAATAAGACCTGGTGCCTCTTTTTGGAGGCAAAATAAATAAATAAATAAGACCTGGTTTTATTTTCAGGGAAACACAGGTACAAAATTACATTTTGTGTCTGTTTTGATTGACTTCTAATCCATTTTGGGAAGATTAGGGCAGGAAAAGGCTATAATATATTTAAAAAATCCTTTCCTCCCCCTTTCTAAAAGTATTTTAATACAATATGAAGTTTTGCTTCTCAGAAACCATAAGAGTTTTTATTAATGGAAACATTTAATGCAGTTTTATATATCTTTGTTATTATTATGAGTACTAATATTCTTTTGATGTTGTTGTATGATTTTAAAAGTATGACTATACTATACTAACAGAATTGTATGATCTGTTCTCTATCCTGTAGTCATGGCAGAGGCTGAGAGACAGGAAGGATTTGAACTGTATACTGCCTGTAAGAGGAATTATACAAAAAAGATGATGGGCCTCTGTCTCACTAACTGGACTTTTCTGCCCGGGATGTGATTTTTCTCCCTTCCCTGCTGCACTTTTTTTAAGAAGAGAATTTTCTTTCAGGTTTTTGGTAGGAAAATTTTTTGTAAGAATTCAAAGAAGATTGCAACCTTTATAACATTAAATCAATTTGAACACTGGCGTCTGGAGTTATTCAATCAGTGACCAATAAAGAAACTACTGCTGTAATACGAATTTTGCAAAATCTGTTGCAGTTTGATTTCCTGTTATTATGTATTGTAGTAGTTTATGCACCCACACTAAATACTGAAACAGAAAGATGAATGTATGACAGCCAGCAGTGATAATAAAAGATATAATGGTGTACTTTTCCATAAGAGTAAGAAGTACAAGTCAGTAGGCCCTGCTTTACAACTATTAATTATAATATGCACTTTAGCTCATTCCAGTTTTAATACCATAGTAATAAACACCAGCTTTTAAGCAATATTAACAACTTAGTCCTGATTATTCCTATTGATCCAGGCTGATTCTCATTGAAATCATGACTTGTATTTGGCCTATGCTAATTGCATACAAGAATCTATTTGATTAGATGTTGCTGTATACAAGAATGAAAATCTTCACAAAGAAATGTAAATATTGAGAAATATATGTATTTTATTTTGATTTGATTTGATATTTCCCAAATATGCAGAATTTTATCACAGGTAACATTCAGTAACAGGAGGCCCTAGCTGTTGTCTGAATTAGTACATCCCAAATATGCAATTATTGCTTTTTTGAAGAATTTCTGTCTATGGAACCTTAGTTGAAATTTTATAACTAAGAGTTCACTAATATTTAGGCTGTAGTGTCAGATTACTATATTCTAGTGATCATGTACTGTAGTGCCTTCCTGAGGGAATAAAAATAAACAAAACAGAAGCCTAGGTACTGCAGATCTGAAATTTTTGTCCTTTCCTTTTTACAAAATGAAGTAGCAAGAGTTTGATGCTCCTTTCAGACCAGCAGTAGCTTTAAACTATTATGAAGCAGATGGAAAGCAAGCACAATCAAAAGTGATGGTCCCCTTAATTGCATTTCTGATACAATATGAAAAAATGAAAACCTGCAAAGGTTGTACTGCTGCCTGTACATCCTAGCTATATAAAATTCTTGCATCACAATAAATGTAAGAAGTGTACTCTGCACTTCCTCATGCTTTGCTCCAGGATGTGGATCTGCCCTGAGTCAGGCTCTCAACATATTCTTTCTGTATCAATAATGTATTGATGATTGCTAATCGTAACTGCTACAATAACATTTTTTTAAATTTTTGTTTCTGTGTAAATATTAGAACCGCTATATAACTTGGGATTTAAAACCTTAAATTTTAACTTTTTTTCTAAAACTTCTTTTAGATCTGCTGTAGCACAATTTGTGCCTCTTATATTTATTGCAGACCAAGTAATATGTTAACAAATAATTACTTTTCATTGGTGTCAACCTTGCATTTTTTTTCTTTAAGTTTAAACGTTTTATTGTGTTAAGTGGAATAAAGTTTCTCTGTTGAAAATAAAGTAGTTTTGTTATACGGGCTTGTTTTCTTTCAGTCAGCTGTTTAATTTCTTTTTCCTTTTCTTTCCCTAGCTTAAGCTACTAAAATAATTTATTTAGCCTTGCACAATTTTGTCATTTTTGACCTTATTATATTAGAACATTGCCCATTAGATTTGTGCAATCCTTGGAGTTTAGCATGCCCAATGGCACAAACTTACCACCTCTATGCAAAAAGTTGTGACTTTTTCTCAGTTTTGGGTGATGGTTTTAAGGAGTTGCACACAGATGTTAAATTTACATCCTTCTGCATCCAAAGTGCTACACAGCCTTAATGCACAGCTAAGTGCCACATCTTGATACTGAAGTTCCATTTTGTATTGTGAATGCAATACAATGTGAAATTAGCTAAACCTGCAGCTTTAGCTAATTTCACAAACCCTTAGAGCAATTCCACAACTCTGGGCAAATCAGTCTAGGAAAAAAAAAAGACCTGCCAGAGTGTTCTTTTGTAAGAGTTACCATTTTCTGCAAGTAAGGGATTTTTTATTTTCAAAATTATGGCCTTACTTTTATACAACATTGTGCTACCTATTCAGTCTCAATTTTGCAGAAAAAATACATTTCCAAGAGTAAGAAGCATAATGTAGTCATAGGCTTGAGCTCAGCACAGGAACAACTTTTGTAGTTAATGATTTGGAAAGACAATTTGAATTATAACATGCAGTTTATTTTAGATAGAAGATATAGGCAAAGGAAAAATATTGATTGTGTATTTAAATTGATCACATGATCTGGGCTCTGCCAATCTATTTCAAAAACCAAGAGCCCCCAAAACAAGTAGTTCTTTGGACCGATCTTAGGGAAAGAATTGCAGCCTAAGTGTCCACCCTGATTGGTGATCTGTTTTGGAAAAGACTCTTTATACCAATATGTCATTTGATACACTACTCAGTATCATTTGTGTTGTTTTTTTTAAAATGCAGTTTTTTATTTCTTTTTTTCACAAATGATACTGAGTAGTGTATCAAATGACCTATTCACCAACCCCTGCCCCACTCCCACACCTTCAGGACCAATGATTAAAATATATAAATATAGTGAATCCAGTTATTCCCCCATATGAGTAATTCCTCTCCCTTCTGTCACATAAAAGTGTATTGGTAACTTTTTTTTGAAGAACTCGAGAAGCTGTACACAAGGTTGTGGAGATTTTGGATCTTTGTGTCCCACTCTCTTTTCTCTGTATAGCGTCATGCTCATGCCTGGTGGAAAGTTGGAAATTGTTGCCATTTCATGTGTTATGTACAATTCCTCAATGAAGCAATAAATTCAGATAGTAAGAAATATGATGGCTTTTAATGTTTAACCTGGCTGGTTACCTAATTAACAAAGCTAGACTTGGATGAGCAGTCTTTGTTGCAGTTCATTATTCACTTTACTGTTCTATTTCTGCATCTTTTCATTTTCCAGAAGGAATGAGAGATGGGGACTTAGAGTGCATTCAGCAATAGCTTTAGCCATCAAAATGATGGGATGTTTTAGCTGGACATAAGCTAGAAGGAACAACCAACTTGAAACTCCCAGATTCCATATTGATTCAAGTTCAAAGAACCAGAGAGAAACCTAGGAGGAAAGAACAAATAATTTTTAGTTGAATACCCAAATGTACCTGGCCTGAGGAAAGAATACCATTAGCCTCCTAATTGAAGAAAGTGATCAATAACAAGGCTCTTTCCTCAAGAATGAAGAATCTCACCATCATTAACAGCAGCTTCAATTGACACTTTCATATTGCTTAGCTACAACCAAATAGGACATGGGAAAATGAAACAGCTAGCAAGTACCTATGAAGACTGGCCAGTTTCAGTAGGTTGTTGATTCATTGCTGAACAAGGGGAAATTAATGAGAAAGTTTGGGGAAATGTATGAAGTTTTAGGAAAGGCAGGATATAAATGGCAATAGCCTCAATCCAACGAGAGAATTTGCAATGTTCATTTGAGGTCAATTGATTTTGATATATATGAAAATTCTATGATGTTCTGTGACTAAAGCAGGATCAAGATCAGTGACTTGAGCTGCCTTCACTTTAGACTGTTCTGACCCTAGAAACAAGGTGGTGTTAGGACCCAGCATTCAGTCCAAGGTGGCAGTAGCAGTTTGTTTCAACTTTCTGTTCTATTTAAAGACTACTCCTGAGTCAGGAGAGCCACTAAGCTGTGGTGGGTGACAGTTTGTTTCTGGCACTCTGGAGAATATCAAGTAGAAGGAGGAAAACATAGCAGACAAACTACCTGGGGAGAAATGGAGGCGGACTGCGTCTCAGAATGTGATGAATCACTTGATATTTCTGTGGAAGATGAAGAGGAGGAAGAGTATGGATCACAGGGTGAAGAATTTAATAACAGGTATTGTTCTTCAAAGAAAATAAAAATCATCAGTGCCAGATTGAGAAGTTTTGGGAAACGGGACAAAGAGAAAGAATTTTATGCAAATGCACTAAGCATTAGTGGAAATAAAGTGTGAAGAATGAGGGGGATTTTCATGGTAAATATAAATGCAGCCGGTTGTGTTTGTCTGCACCAAAGGCATTTTTCTATTTAAAGATCTGACTTGAGCCCCTTGAATTTGGCTCCTCCTCCTCCTCCCTAGCTGGGTTGTCAATGCATCTCAAACAGATTTACTCTAAAATATACATGTGTACAGGAGAAAAATGACAGAGAATAAAAAAAAAGCTTGAATTTGTTCAGTGAAAATTATGAGGAAGTTGTGGGTAATGAAATATAGGAGAGATGTTTGAAGTCAAAGGATCAGTATCTTTTAGGGAATGTTTCCATTTGTGTTTGGAGTCCGTAAACCGATTACTTTCCAGCAAATTGTGTATGGCTTGCTTAGCCAGGTAGTATCTGAGCACCACCACAGTTTTATGGAGGGGTTTGAAACATACAACATTTTTAGCATTTAAAGAAAGATAATGTTTAGAAAAGAACATTGAATAAATGGGCTTGAATCATAGATATAGATTCTAACCAATATCTAAAAGAGAGGTGGGCACCATATTAATATGCATATTCTGTATTTATACACTCTGCAAGGCACATAATATGTAAAACCAGCACTACCAGAACTGTGATGGGAGGATGGGTAAAAGGGAATTATAGAGCTGGAAGACTTTGAAAGTCGTATGTTCAAAGTCCTGTTCAAATTAGGAATTGCAAAGGAATGTACAACTATAGTCTTCCTGGCAAATGGCCAATCTCAGTTTAAATTTTTCTGTTGTGACTTTTCCTTCTCTGCCTATTACCATCAGATAAACAAACTTAGCTGCTCTCTGTAAGAATTTGTTGTTATTCCTTTTTGTTTATTAAAACAATTAATTCAGACATAGGTTGCCAAGCATATCTGCAGATCTTTTTTGAATTATTTTAGACCATGAATAACCTGGGGCATTTAGGGCATTTAGCTCAAATACGTGCAGGAACCAGAAAGAAAACTGGTGATCCGGCTTTCTAGGACATTCCTTAAGCTCTGGGGCTAACCTCATGAAACTGTAGTTTCAGACTATAGCCATAGAGGGGAAAAAAAAGAGTATTGAAAACTAATCTGGAGTAGTATACTGATCTTGTAGAACTTTCAAAACTTTGAAAGGTTATATTTGTCACATAAAAAAAGATATTTCTGGCAGCTTTATAGCTTTAATCTCAAGGTATGATAAATGTTCTAAATAATGTGAAATATTACTTCCATCCATGGAATTTAGTTGGAAGAAAGAGTTGCATCTGTAAATGAGTTAGTTTAAACATAATTAGAGGAACAATTGTCTGTTCTTCTGGTTTCAGGATGAATGGCTTCAAGTAGGATTAGGCAATGAATAATTGTATTTAATGATTTAATTAATTTTATGAGAAATGATGAAATTAAAACTCCTTTTAAAAAAATAATTATCAAATGTGTAGCATCTTGAATAAGTGAAAGGAAACTACAGATTTTTTGCTGAGCAGGTAAACAATGTAAGAGAAATGTAGGCTCCTCAATTATCATGGCTTACCATATTTACTATTATTCTTGTAGAAATAATTTATATTAACAATAAAATTCTCTGAATTTTATTAAAGAAATAAATCCCAGTAAGTTGAATGACATTTATTTTCAGGCATGAATACATAGATTGAAATCTATAAAGTGCACAAAACTTTATATAGCTATTCAGAACGTTAGCAGTTCACTACAATTTCTATCTGTATAGACGTTATAATAGATTAAAATATAATTATGAATTAATTTAATTTTTACCATTACTGTCAATTTTTTAAACAAAAACTGCTACAATCATTTTAATTGTAGCCAGTAAGTTCATAATATCTCATTGGTATTAGTTTACTAAGGATATTGGGCTCTGCACTATAGATACATAATTTAATTAGCAAAATGGATTCTCTGTGCATGTGTGTGTAGCTTCTGCAAAGCAGTGCTTAATGGAAATGACTTGTGTTGGTTGCTAAAAATGTTGGATGTTTCTGGGAACTCGCCCAACTTTGCTGTATGCTTCTTCCTTATAGTAATAAATGCTTTTTACAAAATCTATCTAGACATTTATCAGCGGACTGAGAAAAAATTGAGTTAGAGGCATAAGAGCAGAAGACATATAGTCTGCTATTAATCTGGGACTGCTAAAAGATTCTTAAAATCCAGTACAGCCGGTCCCTGCGCTGAAAGTAGGATTTTATTTTGGGGAAAACAGAATGGAAGCTTTCAAAACCAGCACTTCCTCTGAGCCTCTGAAATAAAGTTTAATACCTACTTGTTTTGTGATCATTCCTTAATGCCTTTTCTATCATTTGCTGTTTCTGGGGGGAATAGAAGAACCTAACTGCAGTAAGACACAATTCAATTTTTGTACAGATGTGGTAGGGGACAGAACAGTAATTCAACAGAGCTATGCAACATACCACTGATACCTCCCTGGACACTCATTAAACTACTTGCACAGATTCTTCTTATTTTTGAGCTGATCAGCTGCAAAGCAAAGGCAGATCTCTAGTGAATTGTATATGAATTCCATAGACATTTTTAAAGAATAAAAATGGTGGCAGCTGAATTGTTTTCCCAGTTAACCAGAGGAGGAGGAGGAGGAGGAGGAAGATAGAGGCTAGAAGTAGCGATGAAGGAGTGATGAAGGTGATGAAGGAATAACTTTATCAATGGTCTTATATGCTGATGTTTATGACAGATTGTGGCCATCAAGGCAGAGCTTGCATAGAAATTTCTGATGTGTCCATTAGCTGAAAAGTTGGGTATACTGAAATCAATACAGGAATTCTTTCTGTCAGAGGGAGAATGTCTGTCATTCTTTCTCTGCAAATATTACGCAATAGAAGATAGTTATTACACTGCCCATCCTCTGGTTTCCATGTATTCTGAATTCCATGCCTAGAAGTTTTGATTGCATGGAACTTTATATCTGAAGATGTCCAGAGTCAGAATTTACAAACACGAACCTGTTGATGTTTTCTCTGTGTAGGAAAGCTTCAATCTGCGAAAGAAGGTTGCCTTTTAGAGAATGATATTTGAAATTTTGATAGGGCATTTGGCAAGCTGGCACACTGGTCTCTTCACATTCTCTGGCACTGTGGTTTCACTATCCTAACACATATCTCAGTTATTGACCCAGATCCAATCCCAATTTTGGAGAAACTGCTTTATTCTTTTGTAGGTGCTTGCCTCCATCCTGAGTGTCAAGGACAGCCAGGTCCATATAATTGTGTGCTGGGAAGTTTGGCAGCACACTTGAGGACATCTGCCAGATAGCCAGTTTGATATAGTAGTTAAGCCCAGGCTAAAAAACAGGAAACTGTGAATTTAGGTTCACCTTAGGTGTAAAAGGCAGTTAGGTGACCTTGGGCCAGTCAGTCTCTCTCAGACAACATACATCACAGAGTTGTGGGGAAAAGAGAAGGAAGGTATATTTGCTGCCTTGAGTTACTTATAAAGGTATAAAAGCTGCATAATAATTAATTAATTAGTTAAATGAATCAATAAAATAGCCTGAAATTGATAGATTGCAATGAGGGTGGTCAATCTGTATGACAGAAAGCACCATCTTAGAAAGTGTGAAGATTTGCTGCTATTATTGTACCTAGTCAAAATTTCTTCTAATTAAGCCAGAATTTTTTCATTATTGTGGAAATAAAAGGCAGGAGTCCAGATGCAGCATCTTTCTGCATATATCATTATAAAAATATTAGTACATTTGACCTCTGTTCCACATTAAAAATAAATCTGAAACTCCAAAGCAGACCCCCATATAATTTTACAAATCTCCAAACCTAGCTTGGAAATTTGCCTGGCCTTTTTGTGAAAATAAACCTAACATATCAAAAAGCTGCCAGGATGGAGAGAATCACACCTGTTGTGTGTATTTGTAATAAACACACTTTTAATTTAAAAAAAATTACCAAGAACAATCTATTGGAGAAGGTGCTGCTGAGCAGGAAAGCAGGGCCAAGCACCTCGTAGAGCCTATCAGTGATAATTGTCCTAGCGTTTTCTTTAAAGTGGACTCAAGGAGGACTGAGTCACAGGATATATTCAACCTGTGTATTCTCCAGCATCACGAGTGGAGAATCCACCAATGGGTTTTGCTTGTCTTCTGCTCGTATAGACTAAGTCAACCAAATCGCCATGCCTCCTCTTCCTGAGACCACTCCCAGTCTCGACTTAGTCTCTAGCTCATAAAGACACAGATTTTGGCTCTAGGACAGATCTACAGATCAGGTTGTATTTTTTTTATCTTTCTTTCAAGGAGAAGCAGGGGAGGGTGAGAGACGAGCAAGCAAATCCCTCGCTGCCATTTTCAGCTGATTCCAGCAGCCGTGAGCATTTCTAATCAGTTTCAATTGACCGGAGGAGTGCAGGAGTTTCCCTCAGCCCCAGGAGTTTCCCTCAGCCCCAACTGAGTGCCGGAGAAGCCGGGAGACGAGCAACCAATTTTTTTGCGGCTGTCCCCAGCGGGACTCAATAGGAACAGGGGTTCCCTTTTTTTTCCGCTCAGCTTCAGCGGACCGCAGGGGTTTCCCTCAGTCCCAGCTGATTAGAGGAAGAAACCGGTCACCATTTTTGGTGCCGTGTGGCTTCGGATCGGGGGAAGGGCATTTCCCCTCAGGGAATTGAGCCATTTCTGTTTTTCTTCTACTCAGCCAAACATAGCAGATCAATTTAATCCCTGCTCTTATCTGAGCAAGCCGCAGAGAGAGAGTCCTCCCAAAGGCAGCCATTAAGAACAGAGGCAGCCAGTAAGAACAAAGGACTCGTGGCCGCCATTTTTGGTGCGAGTTTTCAAACTCCAGTCAAATTGTCAGGGAAGCCAGCACAGGCAAACAAACAGTGGGCTGCACATATCAGCCTCTCC